ATATAAACTGTCATTAACCTCAACAATGATTTATCAGAATATAATTCACACGGCATATAACAGATTACGGAAAGAGATTCAGTTACTAAACTATCATGCATCATATATTATTAAAGCATAACAGTAATTCAATTTGTTTTAATTTTTTTACTAATCTGTGATGCTTCGAGAAAATAATCCGTGATGAACCATGCATGTATATATAAATCACATTCAAGTTTATATACCAAGCCAATCAAAACATCAATTATGTCATGTCTGCCAAGCATATGAAAATCCAATTCCAGCAAATAAGGCAACATGGTCAGTAAATACATATTCATGTTAAAAAAAATGCCAGCCGTACTCATAACAGATAATTTTTTCAAATTTCATCTGGTTGTGGAACTAGTGAAGAAACAACCCAAACTTCTGGGTCTTCAACAAGGACAAACTATATTTCCATATGAAGTCGTAATTGAAAATTTGAAAGCTACTAAAAAAAAACCATCTCAGAAAGCGGGTCAAGATAAATGATTATTTAAACGAAATATAAATAAATCCCCCAATTAAGGAGACGAATCTCCCTGTCGCTATCAACCGCAACACTACACAGGATCACAACAATCTGTAATTATGCATTATGGATAATTTGAAAATCGAAAATCCAATTCCAATTTTTTTCTTTTTCTCGGGTTTTTTTTTTTATTTTTTTTTTATTTTTTTTTGTCTGTTTGGAAGATAGGAGCCAACAGAACACTAAAGCCATTTTACTCAACATGAAATAAAGCAGATCTCGAAAACAGATCACTGAACCCATTCATGGAACATAAAATTAATTAATACTTATGAATTGAGGGAAATAAACAAATATCAAAAATACCTTGTAGGAAAAACACGATTTTTTTCCTAGGGCAACACCAATAATCGAACGAGAGCGTGCTGATAACGTGTTGTAAATTGGAACTCTTCTATATTCACCAAGCATCCATCAATCCAACCATAAAAGATGTGCAGTAAAAGAACGAGAAAAGAGAAGCAGAAAAGTGTGTCTCTTATTCATCGGTATAATCACCCTTTTATAGGGTTTACAAGAGGGAAGCCCTACAACCTAATCCTACTGACTAATGGACTTCAGGCCCAATCATCTATTAGTAATGTCCATATTAATATATTTATAACAATATTATCTTTTTTTTATCTCATTAAATAATTTTCTCTAAAAAAATTAGCTAATTAGTTTTAATAGCAAAGTGAAACTACCTGAAAATTTTATAGACAATAACGACGACAATAGTAACAACAACAACAACAATAATAATATTTTTTTCAACTAAATTAACTAACATGATCCCTCTAAGTCACAAACATTACATTGTTCACAATCTTTTTTTCAATCAATATAATAATTCATTTATACTTAAATGATTTATATTTATATTGTTCTATTTTTAATAATGATCAAATATTGAAAATGTGAAATGTTTATTATCCAATTTATAATATAACATTATATTCAGACAGATAGATAATTCATCATACTTTTATTCACTTTTGTGCATGTCACAAGATGATTACAACAATTACTCGAGTAGTATTAATATCTTTGTATCAAAAGATTAAATAAATCTACACAACATAATGAAAATACCTTTAAATTTAAGAAAATTCGCCGTAGTTAATTACATGTGAAACTTTTTATCTCCCAAAGACGAACATTGCAACTTTGCAAGAATTGAAGGTCGGAGTCGAGAACTATAATGGCATCAAAAGTCAGCAACTACAAACACAATAGACAAATGGGCGACAAAGTATTTATCTAACATTTATCTACACAAGGTATATTGATTCCTTTGAAAAAAAAAAGACAGATAATCGACAGTAATATGAATTGCAAGAAGAATCAATTGTCAAAATTACCCGACTGTCCTAGAATCTATAACCAGAGCCGGATGATGGAGGAGCAGGCGGCAAACGATTAGGTGTTCGGCGGCTGCCGGAGTTTGAGACAGATGAGCTTACATCACCATTCTGTGCAGGGTCACTATAACGCCGGCCATGACTGCTGGATCTTGGGGAATCAGTTGGACCATTAGCGGCAGCATCAAATGCCGATCTCCAGTCACTCCCTGAAGATGAACCAGCGGCTGTTGGGCTACTCTCTGTTCATTTTTTTTTTTTTTTAAAATAAAAAACAAAGGTCACACGAGATAATTGAGGAAAATATAGAATTTAAATAAATGAAGATAATAATATTATGATGCTTAAAAGTCTGCAGAGAGATTATATAGGGTTACCTGCTCCACCACCTTCTGAAAAACCGGAGGCAGCAGCTGCAGCCCTGTTGTCGTGAATGCTTAACTGCCGAATAATTTTGGAAAGAAGGGAGGATTGTTTCTGATAGCGTTCTCTCCTGCTTTTCACGTTATGGTCCTCCTGGATCAGCTCCTCAATTCTTGCCATGCTTATGGAACTGCGAATTCCAAATTAAAATTTGAAAAGTGACATTATTACATATTAATTCGGAACCATATTATGTGTTTGCATGGCGAGGCATGAAAACAACACCAACCTCACAGAAATGTACAACTTGTTAAGCATGTCTTCTTTTGCCTTCTCAACTTGACAAAGAACAACTGCCTGCAATAACAGAACGCGTCGTTAAGTGATAAAGATGGCTTCCGACGAACCAAACTGAAAAGACGCAGGCTTCTGCTGAAACCTGACCTTTGGGACATTGGCGGCAAGACTGTTGAGAACAGCTTCAACATAACCGCGCACTTCCTGAGCTATCCACCGGAGTTCTTCCTCGGGATCCGCAGGTTTTCTTGACATGGTATCCTAAAACAGGCAACCAAAAAACATTTAAAAGCACACAATCAGAAGAATAAACTTGAAAGGGCAACATATGCTCATCGGGAGTTTAACAGGAAATGAAGTTCATTAGCTACTTACAAGATAACCATCAGAATGACTCTGTCGCATTGGAGAATCAAACTGAGTCTTCACTTGACCACCTTTGGAGCTGATGACATTTCTTAACTTGCTCAACCACTCGGACTTCTCTACCGCGCTTTCAGCCTTCAAGACAACAGCACTTTGGGCTGCAGGTGGCAGTAATATTTGAGTCCTGTGTAAATTTAAAATGAGTATAACTTTCTACAATTATTTTTCATGAAGTACCTTTGAGAACCGTCTTATATTGAACCCTGCTTGTTAACTTGAACAAAAGACTGGGTGGTTTTTCCGCATCTGGACCATTTCCCTTTTTGTCTTTGGAACTCTTTGAAGGAGCTGCATCCTCCTCTGAAACTTCTTCCAGGTTACATTCCTGATAATCTCAACCGGAGATTGATTTAAAAAAAAAAAATATGGGAAGAAATGAAAAGATGAGAAAGAAAATCGGGTGTATAAATTCCAGTAGGTAATATTGTATTCAAATTTGAATGTTAGCATGTTTAAAAATAAAAGTATCAAAACCATGGACCATGTAACAAATTGGGTTAGATGACCCTATCGGCCAGCCAAACACCTGACAAGGTAGAGCAGGTGCTTCTACAACTTCTTCCTAATGGTGAAATATTCTTGCTAACTGTGAGACACCAATTAAGTTACCCACATATAAGTATCTTCATCTGTACAATTTCATAACTCCATTTTCATCCAGATAAGTTGGGTTAAATTATGATTGTGAGCACACCGAAGTTCTGGCTTAATCGTTTTCAGTTAAGCATTAACAGAAACTGCTGTATGGCAACTTAGCAACAAATGTTGATGCCCTCCTATTTCTTCAAAAACATTATTTGTCGTCTGGATATGCAGAAATGATTCAAAAGACCAGTTTGATAGATTAACAATACGGAGCTATATTAAACTAAATCAATACCCATAAAGATCATTTGCTATATTTTGACAATTTGGAGAACATAAGATAGAATCATGGACCCTACACTTGCCGAAAAGACATTCTATTCCAACTCAAAGGTCCATAATACGCTGTGAGAGTGATACAGCTTCCGTTTCTGGAGCATAAACACCACCCACAGTTGCACTTCCCGATTCTCAAATTAAGACAGCATTCAGCTCAATTAATTACTCACACCACTCAGCTCTATAATTAGTAGCATTGATATTACTGTTTAGACTCCTACGGATATACAGAGATCTAAACATGTCTCGAAAACCATAAATAGCCATTTGAAGGCCAATTACTTTGTGGAATATGCTCAGTATTTACCTCCAATGTGATCACACCACGAAAATGTCGCTCTTCTTGCTTCTTGGTGTATCCAAGCTGCAGAAAGGTTAAAAAATTGGGCGAGTAGGTAAAACTAATAAAAAAACCAGGCACAAGAGAAACCTCTACCATATCCCAAGTTGAAAATTTTGCATTAGCAAGAATCGTTTAATAGCAATAATGGTGTAAAATCGTCAATCAACACACATAGAAAGAACTTAATGTATATATACATATAGTTTGGATAATGGCAAGAACTTTCAACAGCCTTTCAGAAAATAATTCAAAGAAGTGAGTGAGATTATATGAGCAAATGCCCAAGCCTTTACTTTGAGCCAGAACGTGGATACGAACATGGATAAACTTCTGGAAAAAATGTGAAGTTTATCTAAAGAAAAATATCATGGAAAAGATGATCTTGTTCCAACAACTTCAAAAAGCTCGAGGAACTCACTTTTCCTGTTTTTTCATTTAAAACAAACCATCTTTTACTCCACCCATTAGTTTTAGCACTTTTCTTCAATAGGAAACCTGCAGAAGAGACAAGTGGCTTGAGCATCAAACCAGAATATAAAAGCATACACCTGAAAGAAAATAAATTAAGCATGTATCCCTCACAAATAAAATCATCAGCAGAAATCAATGAACGAGTTTACAATAATCAAAATTCAAATACAAATAAGGATAAAATATTGTAACATACATCATACAGAAGAGGGATTAGATATTTGGACATTCTTGAAAGAGTCTCATTACGAGATACAACACTCACATACAATAATTATAGAGAATTCAATTGGCAGCTTTCTGTTATGAGACTCCAAAAATTATTCATTTTACTTTCTCTAGCACTTCCCCCAAAAACAAAAATATCAAACCTACCCGCACATTGTTTAAACAAAGATGTCAAGAGAAATAATATGGCTGATGAGAATAACTGTGCTTTAAAAGATTGAATACAAAATCGTGTGCAGTAGAATCGCATAATAATACTTTTAATTAAACATATATCAATTTTGCATTTGTTCTTCGATTAAAAAATATTTTCACAAAAAGCGAAGGATATAATGGAGAATAAAATCCACAATTGAGTTAGCTGTTTGCAAGAACCTGCTGTTATTTCCCCTTCCGGCCCAGCAGTCTTCAAGACTGGTCCTTCTTGTACATCTTTGTCTTTATCTTGTTGACTGGATTTGTTGTCCTTCATCGACTTTAAACTCCCCTCACTTGGTTGGCCTCCAGTTTGGGGACTAGTTGCCTGAATGAAGCACTCATTCTATAAAGATAAAACACATTTCGAGCATGTTTGTATGCAAATAAATCCACTCAAAATGAGTTTTTTTTGGTTAACCGAAGTTAATTTTGAAAAAAAGTGGTATGGTTAGTTGTTAGTGGGATTTTGATTTTATATTAAGAATAAAATGATTAAAGTTGATTTGATTTAAAAGTAGCAGAGAGATGGTGTGAAGTGATGGTTAGTTAAAATTATGGGATGAATAGTAGATTAAAAGTGATGTGATGTGTAAGAATGATTGGTTTGCATTATTTAATTATTTAATTATATTGATAATATTGAGGATAGTGGAGTTGGGTTAAAGTTGAGTTAGATTCAAAGACGGACCTACATGAGGTCCAGGGGCCCCCTCAATTTTTTTTTAAAAATCATTATATATATATATATATATATATATATATGCAAATAAAAAAAATAATATAAAAAATGAATAAAAATATAAAAAAAAAATATGTAATATATATAAATAATATAAAACTCATTCTCAATGCTATTTTAATTTAAAGTAATAGTATTATTTATTGAAAAGTATACTAACAATCATTATATTTTACATTTCTTGATAGTTTTTGAAAAATATTTATAATAATTTACTCTTTCGGCCTTTTAATTGTAAATCAATTTAATGATTTATAAACCTAGAATTTAGTTAAGATTGTTAGATTTTTTAATGTTGATCGATTGTATATTTGAATGTTGATTCTTTACATTATTTTTTTTATGTAATCACATATTTTCAATATTATTTATTTTTATTAAAAAAATGGACATTTGATAAGCTCTCATCAACAAAAATGTTATGCAATGTGTTCAATTTAAATCAAATTTTGAACAAAAAAAACTTATTTTTCATAAATTATAGATCTTAAACTTGAATCATAAATACACGAAATCTCATTTTTTTTCTTAAAAAAAGTTTGAGGGTACTACGGATTCTAAGTTCTTAAAAACTTGAAGGTACACATATTAATATCTATCTATATTTATAAGTAAACACAACTTTATATGAAATGAGCGCTTCTACGTAAATTATAAACTCGTTATTTAACATTTAAGTCGGGCCCCCCTGAGTGAAAATCCTAGCTTCGTCACTGGTTAGATTTTGAGTATAAATTGAAAATGAATTGAGTTTTTTTGTATATAAGCACACCCTTGAGAAGAGAATATGGTGATATTTTTCATATTCCACAATAAGATGATATCAATCTCGACAAACCATGTGTTCTCAGAAACCAATATTTATGTGAGTGTGTATATGCATGTGTGAGTGCCTTCGCGTTACCCTATTTAGTATGGATTGTTCAGCATCAACAGCCTTTTTGGAAGATCGACCTTTCAGTTCATCTTCACGTCGTAGTCTATCCATCCTGGAGAAACCGTCAAACACATGATTCCAACATCTTAAATGCATCAAAAAGGAGATCCACACAACCTCCGTCACATCCAACATAAATAAAATTTGAAAATAAATAGGCTATTCTTCCAGTTTTTCAAATAATAATTATCAAATCAATCTTAAAACTAGGAAACTATGAAAAACTTAACCAGGTATTGAACTTACCGCCTCTGCACCAGACGAACAAAATGTTGGGCAGGAACATATGCCCGTTCCATATCAACGAGTGCAACTACCATGTTCTTCGCATTATTCTTGTAGTCTTCCAGAGCGGTTGAGGCAATAGTTACAACCTGTATACATAGCAGAAATTTTACTCTGTGGTAATCAAAATGGATTAGCAAATGCATATGTATTGATTGATGAAATTAAAGCTCCATCATGTGTACCTCTCTCTTAAAAGGAGGATATCTTCCAAGGCCAGGTGTAGCATTTGCAGCAGCTGCAACAATATCAACAAGTACTCGGTGCACCTATGAAATTTTTTTAAAATATTAATGATATTATTAGCCTAGCATATTTTCCACAAAGTTAGACAGCATAAAATGCAGGATGATGAAGTATACAAAATATATAGATATGTGTGATAGAGGCGGTAACGAGTGAAATAAAAAATATCAGACTGTACAGGAACAGGAACACATGATAGGAGTCAAATTCAATTTCGAATTCTTTTATCAGTTTTGTAATTTTTCAGTGCTAATGCATGAGTTTCTAAATGAAGTGTTCAATGAAAAAATTCCCTAGTCCCAACTAATAGTATGTGATCTTTAAGAATAAAACTACCAAATAAAACCACTCCCATCTTGTGAATATAGTTTCTGAGAGGGAAAAACAAGATATAAAGAGACTGTCATAAGCACATAGCAAAACCAACGAAAAAGAAAGGGAAAAGGGGAAGAAATGAAATTAGTGGTTTACCTCATCAACACAAAGTCGTGAAGGTTCTTTAGCAAGCTCCAAAACTCCTTTAATTAAAGACCGCAATCCTTTCTCTGGAGAGATAAGATAAGGTTGATAACCATCTGCTTCGAGCACAATCTGAAATAAGTTAAACCATCAACCAAACTTACACATTGCACTCATTACCACTCAATATTACTCAGAATTCATAAAAGCATTAGTGCTACGGTGGAAAATGCGTACCCTCTTTACATTTTTCATGTCAAAATGTCTATCTAAAGGTAGTTGCTTGATTCTATTGGGGAAATTGCCTTCAAAAGTAGAAACAACTTTCCATCCACCGCCCTGCGATATCAAAATTTTTTACATGTTAACATAACACAAACGCTTAAATCCTGACACGTGATCAGAAGGAGCTGGTTTAAACAGTGATCTGGGAGGTTAGCTTGATTTCACTGGCCACTTGGCCATTGACCCAGATACCGACACATCATGCACAAATAAACGTATATATTAGGGATGTAAATGTGATATTCACAAATAAATAAATAGCAGAGATATGGGTAACGTGTATAATATATGGAGATTGTGGTAACAGAGTTGACAAGAATTGATAACAGGAGCCAGGAGGTAAGATCATAAGAAACCGGTGCACATGAATGAGAGTGCATAATGTCCAAATATCCGTATTTACCAAATATAAGTGATGTCTGCTTGATGTATTTCCTAAATGTAACAAAATATAGCTTATTTCTTTCTCACCTCCTATTTACTAAATGTAACAAAATAAAGCTTACTTCTTTCTCACCTCTCCAGTTGTGATATGCTGGAGGAATTTGTCTTCAAACTCGCGGCAGAGCTCCAGCGCTAGAGCTCGTGTACCTTCAGCACTACTAACCATCTGTTCACCAAGTCTTACTAGTTCATCCTGTACAACTTGGGACTTATTCTGAAGTCTGCATAAGTGGAATATCAATGTCAAGCACCGATTACACAAACTAATTAAGAAAGCACCACGAAAACAAGCATGAGGCATAGAACTAGTACAACTTTTTTCGATACAGATTGAACCTAAGGAATTAGAAAAATGACACAATGCCAGCATATTTAAGGACAATGACTTCTGATTAATATATTTTCATTGATTCCTAGTATTATGTTAACTTACCAAAAAAAAAAAATTGTTAACTTACCGTACACTAGTATTATGTGCGTTCGAGATATCGATTTCCAGGTTATCATGGGCAAGGGTAACAGAGCGTACTAAATAACTAAACCAATATTTTAAGTTTAAAGGAGAAAATGGTTACCAAAAATGTGATTTTAGTAAATGGTTAACTGGAAGAAGAAATCACTTCAAATTAGACGAGCACAACCAGAAAACCAAAAGACAAGAAGCTTGACAACAGAGCTTACCCAGAGAGAAGATTTGGAAGTCTAACTTTCATACGGTTTCGGATCTGTTGGGCCAAGGTCTCTACCAAGGCTAATCGCCCAAGCTTACTTTGTGGAGCACCCGTCAGGATAGATTTCAAACTTTCACTTTCTGCTCGCCAAGCAGCTTCTAACGAATTATCAGCACCAACAGACCCTGATTGAGCAGATGCTATAGAGACAGATTGGCCAATCAAGGCAACCCATGGGATGTCAGCTGTACTTCGGGGTCCTTGATTTAACAACAGAGCCTGCACTGCAGCGAGGACTTTTGGTTCTGATGAAACTTGATCTATCTTGCTAATAATTCCAACGGTTCTTGTACCTACCAATAAAAGCTATGAATTAATCACATATATAGATAGTATATCTAATCTAACATCATAAAGTCGGCAGGACATCCCCAACCACCCCAAAAAAAATTGGATTAGTAAATCAAGATAGAATCACAAACTCACACTCCGCATCAAGCTCCTTTGCAATCCTGATAGCTTTTGCTGAGGCCACTTCCGGGGCCTGGGATGCAGGTATTACCACTAATAATATCGCGTCACTGTGTTCAGCATATTGACTCTGTAAGAAAGAGAAAGGCTGTCAAACAGCTGAAAACCAAATCTTAGAACTCCTACTGCATAACTGAAAACTTTATGTTCAGTCCAAAGTCCACATGACACGAGTGCTATAGCAAGCTTCGGGAGAACACACGTTATTTAACTACTCAAGCTAGTTTAATGGCATATATATATATATATATATATATATCAGTTTAACATATCAAGATCATCGATATACATACTAAAACAGTTTATCAGTAGCATGATAGCAGCTTTTCAAGAAAATGAGCGAAAGAATTCGAATGATCCCGTAAGAAAACAAAAGACACGATTAGACCAAGTTCGGTTGCTTCTGGAAAGCTTCTTCTCACCTCAGCAATATTCAACAATATGAAATCATGTTGCTTATCCAACTCTCTCTAGAAATTCCCATGTATGCAATAATAAAGTTTAGAAACCAATGCATGAAGACCAAATTTGAAATGTGGGGTGCACAGCATTATTCATTTCTAAAATCTTCAGAAACATTACAACTCCAACTTAAAATCAATCATGATCAGGTCAACCTTCAAAATTCACTCACACAAAAGCCAATACAACCTTTGAAACCATGCAGAAGATAATCAAACCTGAAGTTCTGTGCTTAAACTGATATTCAATATATATAATCCTGAATTCCTTATATTTGTTCAGATTCCACTTACCAGTGAATCATCGAGATTCCCCTTATCGGCCCCAGGCAAATCAATTAGTTTCAATGGTGGAGCTGCATAACAAGAGAAAACGTGTTAGACGACGAATATATTGATCAGAGAGCAAACACTCTGTTTATCATTTTGTGAACCTAAACGTTTACAACCAGGATAATGTGAGAAATACCATCAATGAGGTGAAAGTGGGCTGAAAACAATTAATAAGACCTTAGTATTACCCAAAAATTGTAATATTGAACCAGTTCTGCACCAATTTTTGTAGTGCAAGTACAACAAGATAAAAGCAAATCTGTCCTGGATTAAAAATCTGATGAACAGTTCTACACTTGGTGAAGCAGTGAAGATGCCTTGGTGCTAACAGAAAAGTTATACAGAATTTCTTTCTACTCAATAACCAACAATTTATCTAGGATTTTCAAACTACTCTGCGCTCAACATGAGAAAGCATAAGCATATACAGGGTCCATATGGTAATTATCAAACAGGTGAAACACGCAACTTTTCAAAATAAACACACCTGTACTTGTTCGGAGCTTCAAATTTATTTCATCTCGACTCTTGCCAGAACTTTTGCTCAGTCTGTCCTGTAATGAATGCCGAAGAGCACCTAAAGTAGACAGAAAGATCATTATAAAAAAGAAGGGTCCAATCCTCAGACAACAAATTAACACCAAATAATCCCAATATAATCTGTTAGAAGCCTCACTTGCAGAAACTTGTTGAGATTTACTATCAATCTGCAAAATAATAGATTTGCTACTTAGAGAGCTGTCCTTTGTTAAGTCAACAACGATTGGAGCACGTGTTGCACCACCTTCACCAGTTGGCTGTAAAATTATGCAACAAACTCTTGATGATTATATTTGCTAAAAATGAATGACAAAATCATTCAACAAAAGCACACAAGCTCTCATCACTTACCAATACTGGATGTCCAATTAGGCTGTTCAATACAGCAGACTTGCCTGCACCCTGGATAGATATTTCCCAGTGAGACGTTATTTTCAATCGCATAACAGGTAAAATGAGCAATGTAAAGATTTCCAAAAAAAAAAAGAGACCTGTCCATTATTCCTTAATGCACATCTAAGTAAGTTGCTTATCCAAGTCGAAATTCTTATTTTGCATTGACATTCACTATAAACCTAGTGGATGTGCCATCTGCTAAAAGCAAAAGACCATGAATCCCTGCTTGTAACAAAAAATCATAATTGAAAAAGACCCCATTACAGCAAACATGCCCCATTCCCAGTTCCCCGAATTCACAACTGAAGGAAGATCCAATGGATAAGGTTTCTTAGGGAGAAAACAGGGGCAAACCATTATATTACAGACCTTTTGGTCTTCACTATTATTTTTTACCTCACCTCCTAGGAAGCACCATGTTTTATAAATGCAAATGTTTATACATGCCTTCTCAATAGATTAGACTACCATTCATTTGATATTATTGTTTATCATGCAAACTATTAAAACTGCACACTATTAGATTCAGTAAAAAAATTGTCAACTAAATGAGACACGTTATTTTTACCAAGACTTCAATAACCAGGTGCACTCACCAGTTCATATCCGTAAGTACGTTAGAAAAGCAACTTATAGTTCTTCAAATTATCTAAATGATTAAATTGATTGAATTTGACCAAGCAACTTAAGCTCTAGGAGGAAATACATATTGAGAGAAATAAGGGATGGTTTATTAATAAAATGAACTGATGAATTCAATATATATTTAATTTAATATTAAGCATTAATTAAGAAAGTAAACATTTCAGGCTATAAAAACTAAACATCATAAGGATATTGAGAATTATGAATACCAGGAAGATCCATATGGCAAAGAGAAGCCAGACAAAATGAATGGCCTGACTTATTATAGAATGAAATAGTAAATATAAAACAGAAAATTGGGCATTATCTGTGATGTGTCACTGGTCAAGAGATTAAAATTGCAGGAATCCTAAGCCCTTCTTGAAACAAAGGACCAAAAGGCTTGATATGTGATAGTTGCTTTAAGGAAATATTTATGTAGAACAACTCGAATCTTGAGCCAAATTATACATTTTTTTAATCGTGGAGCCCATGGTCAATAAAGTTAAAGAACTGAATGCACAGAGAAGAAGGGTTGAATAAAAAATGGGGCACACAGTACAAAAATATCAGGCCTCTTAGAAAAACATTACGCATATGACACAACCTCCCCTTCAATAGGTCAACCTTATCAGGAATAGAACACAATGTTTACTCAATGATAAAGATCGAATCGACCCGCAACATCAGCTACTCGACAGGGCACAATATAACCCACAGTGAGACAATCCCAAGCTGAGAGACTATCTCCCCAAAAATTGTACTTCATCTTAGAGCTTATATCATCCCAAACACAAATTTCAATTCTAAAATGTGTCACATGGAGCACCACTGTATTCTGCTAAGAAGCATGCTATAACCTATTTTCAACATAAAACCCATTTCCTCAACCACGTAACTGATAACTATGTAATCCACAGTATCTCGTCTTTCCTTAGCAAAATGTGTTCTGCATTATGCCATACAAAATCACAACAAAGACAACATACAATTTTCAGAAAATAAACATTACAGATTCATTTCAGCTCACAATTGATCGATTAAAATCCAAGTTCCTAAAGAGAACCCGCTCTAGAATCTGCCTTAACGTTCAAGTACTCCGTACAAGAAAAAATATATATAAAATCACGAGAACAAGCTACAAAAAAAAGTCTTGAGCAATCAATCACTCACAATGTTGCCGAGAGCAACAGCATTGAGGAAAGTGGAAGCGCGCCTGGATGGAGCGGACTCGTCTACATCTTCGTCGGCGAGCAGCGCCGACGCCTGCCGCATTGCATTGGACAGCTCCGACAATTCCTCGATCGCCTCCATGGATTCCGATCAATCTCCGTCGCTAGACCCAACGCTGCAGATTCAATTATTTCAAGGCGTCGCTTGGCGAGCCCGAATCCAGACAGCAATAACCGCGGATCAAATTGAGATCAAAGCGCGTAGCGTGAACTGAATCTAAATTACGCTCGATCAGAATCTGAAAATCTGGGGTTAGTTTGGGATGCTTTGAGATGGTTCAAAGGCAAAAATGGAAGATTGAGAAATGTTGAGAGACGCAGAAAGTGTAGAGAGGTTGATGGAATGGAATTTTGAAGCGTGATGCTCTCTGCCTGCAGTGTTCGATAGGCATATCTAAACAAGGAAAAAGATGTCCTTAATTGTAAAAATGATTTCTAATGAGATGGTCACGGGCCGAATCGGGCCGGAACCGCCCGGTCAAGTCCATTGACCGCAGGTTCAAAAATCGGCACTTGTTTTATCCGGGCCAGTTCAGGCTCACAAAATAATAATTTTGTGATACATTGGTTCCGGTTAAGAGCCGACTCGAAGGCCCGACAAGTATTTTAATATTTTTTTTCAAAATTTCATTTAAAAAACTTCAGTTTCGAACGAGGTTGAGCTCAGTATGAAACAGCCGTTTAATCAAATCTAGACCGTTGGATCGTTTTGACCATTGGAGATCTGACGGTCCATTCTTTTCGCAAACAATTCTGGATGGGCCGGTTTGGACCCAGAACCTCCAACAGTCAGAATTTTAAAATTGACCATTGAATCAATCTGACCATTGAGATCTTGCAGTGAGAATCTATTGGAACATTTTAAAACGGCGGGTTGTCATGGAATTGGCAATTCAATAATTAAAACAAAAAAAAATAGAAAAAATAAGCTATTATTACTTACCAAAGTACCTATCAAGCTTGCACAAGTAAAGTAACTCATTCAAGAATGAGGGGGCTAGATGATATAGCACTCACAATAGCCTGGTGGACCAGCTATGGTGGTTAGCTACGTTGTGGTCGGTTCAAAGAGGCTCGATCTCTTTAAAGCACACAATCCTGTCAAGGAGCTCACTCAGGTAGCCCAAGGTACATGTAAGTCTAAGATATGCAGCTCGGAGATCGTGAGCTACGAACAACTCGGATAATTGAAGGGACCTCAAGGGTTGAAGGTCGTGCTTACGACCTAACAATGGACTATGGCAGGTAGATGGTGAGGTCGTCTGGACTTAGGTTACCTAAGAGTCATAGAGTAAAGGGGGACAAAAATACTTTAAGGATGGAAAGTCTATTTTTGCTAAGAACTCTCAAATTTTATAGACGTGGTAAATTAGGAATGTAGTTCCGTGAGGATCTCCTTCATTACTAGGATTCTTTTTGGAATCATAAGTATATAGGTGACTAGGTTATTTTGTTTTACATATGCATAAACGTATAATTGAATGCATATATTGCTAGTTTTCTCTCACGAGTAGAGGTTGACTTGAGCATCGTAGGTTTCCGCAGAAATCCCTTCCCAACGCTTTGCAGGCTATCAGAGCTCGAAGTCGGCGTCCGCTCGTAATGTTATGATTCAATATGGTTGAAGGCAATTTGCACATCAAGTGGATCACCAATTTGTCAAGACTAGGGCTGCAAACGAGTCGAGCAGCTCGCGAGCCGCTCGCGAGCGCTCGAGTCAAAGCTCGACTCGAGCTCGAGTTTGACCGATCTCGAGTCGAGCTCGAGCTGCTCGAGCACGTACTCGAG